GCCCCCTGCTCCCTATCCCCCTCCTTTTGTCCATCCTCCTCGCTACCAGTCCGGTTGCTGCCCTTCATTCCCTGGGGCCCCTTTGCTATCCTCCTCACCCATCCCTTAACTTCCCTCCTCCTCTCTTCCACCTCCACTCGGCTCTCATTCCCCCCGTTGTTATTCTGTCTTTCCTCTATTCCTTCCCTCCCCCCATCTCTATTGCCTATCACGTTGGCCTTACTATCCCCCCCATCTTCCACCCCCACACACTCTCTATCTTCTTCCTCTCCTCTCTGCCCCTCCTTTACCCACTTTCTCTGGTCGTACAAACCCTCCGTGCCATCCAGTTCCTCCCCCTCCGCACCCTCCTTTCCTTGCTGTGTTGCCGGTTCCACTACCTCCTGCTCCCTATCCCCCTCCTCTTGCTCCTCCTCCTCGCTTCCAATCCAGTTGCTATCCTTCGTTCTCTTCGTTCTCTGGGGTCTCTTTGCCACTCTTCTCGCCCACCCTTTTACTTCCATCTTCCTCTCTTCCACCTCCATTCGATTCTCATTCCCCACGTTATTACTCCGTCCTTCCTTCGTTCATAGCATCCGCGTCAGCCCAGATGTTCTCGCCACTCTCGTCTCTCTTGCCGCAAATTTCTCCTCCATTGGACTGGCACAACTGTCCTTCCAACCCCCTTCCTTCTCGCCACTCTCTCTCTTGCCGCAAATTTCTCCTCCATTCTTGGACTGGCGCAACTGTCCTTCCAACCCCCTTCCTTCTCTTTCACCCCTCTGGTCCTCGCCGTGGCCCTCAGTCCAATTACGCCCCCCCACTGCTGTCAACCAAACTTCCCCATCGTTATCAAGCGCTCCAACTCTCCTCCTCCCCCCACTTTCACTGTTTCCAGTCCCCATATCGTCCCTGGGCCAGAAGGACGACTGGATGCTATGAATATCAGAAACCGGGAAAGGAAAGGCGAAAGGATACGAGACAAAAACCGTAGGAGCGAGGGGTGTGTGAATGTGAGAGAGGAGAGAACGGAGAGCAGGCGAGGGTACAAGGTAGAGGAGAGACGGCCCCATGGAGCAGGAAATGGTGATTGGTGTGCAAAGGAGGGGTGGAGAGAGGAGGAAGAGGGCAGAGGATACGACATAGTAGAGGATGGGGGGGCGGTAAGACCAGCATAGAGATTACAGGCAATAGAGAAGAGGGGGGAGAAGAGATGGACAATGGGGCGAAGAGTCGGTTGGCATCGATGGGTGTAGCTGGACCGATGGCCACGGAGAAGATCGAGCAGAGGGAGAAAAGAGGGGGGTGGAGAGGCGATCCCACCGACCCAGGAGCAGGAGAGAGATCGGCGGAAAGAAGGATGAGGATGACGAGAGCACCTGGACTCGAGTGGGAGCTAGGAGTACTGGGGACGGGGGAAAGAAAAGAGTGGAAGAGGTGCATGACGGGGCCGACAGGAGCGAAGAGACCGTGAAAGTGGAAGAGGGGAGGATGGAAGTTAGGCGAGAGCATAAGAGAGAGGGGAGACAGCCCCATAGAGCAAGGGATGACAATTGGCGTACAAAGGAGGGGCAGAGAGGGGAGGAAGAGGATAGGGAGTATGCCATGGTGGAGGATGGGGGGGTCAGCAGGAGCGGTATGACGGACAACAGAGAGGAGGGGAGGGAAAGAAGGGAGGAAGGACGGAGTGACTGCGTGGGTAATAGGAATCGAGTGGAGGTGGAAGAGAGGAAGACGGAAGAAAAGGGAGGGGTGAGAAGGGTGGCAACGAGGCCCCAGAGAATGAAGAGAACGAAGGATAGCAACCAGATCGGAAGTAAGGAGGACGAGCAAGAGGAGAGGGATAAGGAGCGGGGGGGGGGGCGGCGACACTGCGAGAAAAGGAGGGTGGGAAGGGGGAGGAAGCAGAGGATACGGAGGACTTGTACGATCAGAACAAGCGGGTAAAGGAGGGGCAGAGAGGAGAGAAAGAATAGGGGGCATGCCGTGGGGGAGGATGGGCGGGCAGCAGGAGCGGGGTGACAGACAACAGAGATGGGAGGGAACGAACGAAGGAAGGACGGAGTAATAACGTGGGGAATGAGAATCGAATGGAGGTGGAAGAGAGGAAGATGGAAGTAAAAGGGTGGGCGAGAAGAGTGGCAAAGAGACCCAAGAGAACGAAGGATAGCAACTGGATCGGAAGCGAGGAGGAGGAGCAAGAGGAGGGGGATAGGGAGCAGGAGGTAGTGGAACCGGCAACACAGCGAGGGTGCGGAGGGGGAGGAACTGGATGGCACGGAGGGTTTGTACGACCAGAGAAAGTGGGTAAAGGAGGGGCAGAGAGGAGAGGAAGAAGATAGAGAGTGTGTGGGGGTGGAAGATGGGGGGGATAGTAAGGCCAACGTGATAGGCAATAGAGATGGGGGGAGGGAAGGAATAGAGGAAAGACAGAATAACAACGGGGGGAATGAGAGCCGAGTGGAGGTGGAAGAGAGGAGGAGGGAAGTTAAGGGATGGGTGAGGAGGATAGCAAAGGGGCCCCAGGGAATGAAGGGCAGCAACCGGACTGGTAGCGAGGAGGATGGACAAAAGGAGGGGGATAGGGAGCAGGGGGC